TAACCGAATGCTGCAAACATATGAGGTGAAGAGTCCATCTGCTTCCAAGAGCTTTATCATTGAGATGCAATAAATTAAAATGTGGTGTGAGTGGCGATACCGGGAGGGAAAGTGGGGTAGAAAGGGGGAACTGATCACAAGGATCTACATATAACCTTCTCCCTGGGGGATGGGCAACAGAAAAATGGGTGAAGGGAGACGCCGGGTAGTGTAAGATAAGATAAAATAATAATTTATGAATTATCAAGGGTTCATGAGGGAAGGCGGGAAGGGGGAGAGAAGGGGAAGAGAAAAAGGAAAATGAGGAGCTGATTCCAGGAACCCAAGGGGAAAGCGAGTTTTGAGAATGATGAGGGCAACAAATGTATGTGTGCTTTACACAACTGATGTATGTGTGGATCATGATAAGAGTTGTATGAGCCCCAATAAAATGATTTATAAAAAAATGTGATGAATCCTTGATTTTACTTTGACTTTACACTGTACATAATGTAGATAACCATCTTTTAAAACAAAGTTTTCATAAATTGTTGCTGTTTTCAGACAATGCTATTGCATGCTCTACTACATTAAAATATCAGTTAGTATGTGTGTAATTACAAACTGAAAATTCTTAGGTCTACACAGTAGTGTCTGAAAAACAAAGGTTAAAAAAAAAACATGAGGGAACTATAAAAGAAATTGAGGGGATTATGGCAACAATAGGAGTGCTGGGGGCATAAGGGAATCCTCTTTGTGCTGCTAACCACACCAGCAGTTCAAACCCACCAGCTGCTCTTTGTGGGGGAGGGAGAGTAGGGGGATGAGGTTCTCTACTCCCACAAAGAGTTACAGTCTCAGAAACTCACAGGGTCAGTTCTGCCTTGTCCTTTAGTCACTATGAGTCAGAATTCACCCAAAGGCAATGAGTATGGCAATAACTAAGAGCCTGCTAGCACGAGTGGTCGCTGGTTGGCAGCTAACCAAAATACTGTGAGTTCAAACTCACCAGCCACACCACAGGCAAATGATGTGGTAATCTGCTTCAGTATGATTACAGCCTTGAGAATTTAGGGGGCGATTCTATTTTGTTCCATAAGTTGGAATCGACTCAGTGGCAATGGGTTTTGCTACTGGTGGGTGCAATTTTTAAGAGTTCAAATCTCACCACCAGGTAAATATATCCAGAGAAATAGGAGGTATAAAGTAAGGATGTACATCCATGCTTGTCAGAGCACTCACTTTGGGCAATAGAAAGAAGGAAGCGCTTCAGCAGAGTGGGTTAACAAGGGAATCCTGTGATGGGTTAAAACACATTGAAGAATCTGTGGGATACCTCATAACATGGATAAACCTAAAGGCAGACAGTAGCTGAGTAAAAATGTCAAAGAAAACGGAAAAAGAATGCATGGTGCCACTGTTATAAAATGCCAAGAAAAAGTTTGTATGCAGAAAGTAACATGCTTTGATGGTCAACAGGATGAGGGGATGAGAGGGAAACTCACTACTTAAACAGCAAGCATGTTAAGAGAAAGGAAATGGACCTTAAGTGGGAAGGCAGCACAACATGACCAAAGCCAAGGACACCATGGGGGGAGCACAGGAGTGAAAGGCAACAAAAGAAAGTGCAGTTGCACACACAGAGGCTGCTAACTGCAAGGTCAACAGTTCACAACCACCAGGAACTCCTCAAGAGAAAGACAAGGCTTTCTACTCCCAGAAAAGTTTACAGTCTTGGAAACTCACAAGGGCAATTCCACCTGGTCCTGTAGGGTGACTACGAGTCAGCATCAACTCAGAGGCAGTGGGTTTGGTTAAAGTTTGTTGTGTACACAAACCTGAAATACTAGTGATAGCAAACACCTATGAGTTGATGCACAGGTAGACAGGCAAGCTGAACACATATAGGAAGTCATTGGGAATATGTACAGGTTTGGTAGTGTTTCAGTCTATTGTCCACAGGGTTGCTAATGCCTAAAAAGTGATTCGGTGGCACCTTTCACAAACAACAAATAGGCTTGGCAGAGGCTGTTTCTATATGTGCAAAGAGTCCTGCTGGTGCAGTGCATCAGGTATCTTAAGCAGCTAACTACAAGGTCCATGGTTCAAATTCACCAATTGCTCCACAGGAAAAAGGTGAGGGTGCCCTAAGCAATTAATGGTGAAGAAAATGAAAGACTCAAGTCCCCAATTAATTGAAAGAGCTAATGAACTACCACAACTACAACCTCCACTATATGAACTCCAGATGAACTAGGTGGTGCCCTGTTACCAATACCAACCACTGCGACTGAGATCACAACAAAAAGTCCTGCAAAAAGAGAGCCAATTAGTTAATGGAGAAGAAAATTTAAAAACATTTTTAAAAGACATACTGATCTGATAGAGACTGGTGGAAAACCCTAAATTTTGGCCCTTAGATACTTTTCAAGTGTAGAACCCACCCCCAGGGATCAATGTTTAGCCAACCAAAGGACAGGCCTTTAAGACATATAATAATACCAAGGAGGAATATATCTTCAAT